ATTCATGAAGACTGTATTAATGGAGAGTATAGAGAATCTTTAACTGTACACATTTATTAAAAATAAGTATCTTTATAAATTCAGACCTATGAGTTTACTTATCATCTGCGAATCTAGATTTCAAAAAATCAAATTATCACCAACAAACCCAAGGATTGCATTAAAATTAAATTATAAAAATTAATTTCATTTTTTTTATGTCTCGTACATTTGTGTATATTTATTATTTATTGTATGGCGCATACTGATTAAAATAAATAAATGTTTCCAAATTTCCCATCATTATAAGCTTATTTCATAATTTATTATCTATTTTATGTGAAAATTTATGAAAAAATGATATTTGGGAGTACATAAAACAGTGATGAGAGATCAAGATATACGTAAATAAAAAAATGTTGAGAAACGCTAGTATAGAACATAGATATAATATGTAACATATTATTAGGTTCGCTGTTTAGGTACTATACGCGTTTAACGATGAGTCTCGCGCCTCGGCTTCTGGCATTGTTTAATCACACGACAACACGCCATATCGATTTAAATTTTATTTTACTGTTTTCGTCAAGCACACAATAATATGTATATATGTTCCAACCGTATCGAATACACGATTTGTACGTGTCTATAAAAGTATAACTCATAAATAGGATTACAGAACCGAAAAAAATAATTCATAATATACACCTATTGAAACGAATAATCTTTACCCCATCCTTCGAAACAATGGTAATTATTATATTAAGAAAACTTGACGTATCGCATAAATGTTTAACATACATAATAACTATTAAATTCTAGTTGGATGTGTCACTGGATAATTAATCTTTCCTTGAAAATTATATTGACAATAAACAAGTAGTATGTTATTGTTAATGGACGTATAACGTATGCCTATAAACATGGACCTCTACCTTTATGGCTTTATCTACTTCATAATATACTTACTAGTTACCAATTTGCTATATTATATTTGTTAACTTGAATCCTGTCACAAAACAGACGATTTCCTATAAAAGGTTTCGTTAATTAATTTTTATCTAGACTAATGATTTATTTTATTTTTAATATACATGCTATATTTCTGTATACTGAACAATTATTATAAATAATAATTATGCATAATAATATTTGAATGCACAATGACAACGATTGTATTTATTTTAAATAATGCATACCTATGTAGTATGTTACTAATACAACAACAAAAACCATTCATATACATTAATGATAAAATGGATAAAATAAGTTGTAAACAAAATTCTTTTAACATAGAATACTAGGAAAAATATATTTCGACAAATATGAGTATAATTTTTATAACTAAATTAAAAACAAATAAATTAAATACTTATTTGATATAAAACACACATTAAAGATATCTCCAACCTACAAGGCTATAGCAGTATTCAACACTGAAAAATGACCTTAATAACACCTAAACGGTTATGTCAAAAATATAAATATAATATAATATTTTTGAAAACATTGAGTTGCATAACATGTGAACATATCCGAGCAGTGAGCAATAAGTACGCCTACTTAAATGTACAAAATCTATTGCAATTTGCTGTAAGCATTATGGTGTGGTAAGTTTTGCATAACGGAAACACTCTATAGTAATTTATTATATATCAGTTATACTGCATATTATATTATATTCTACTAAGAAATTCATAATCCAAGACCGAATTATATGAGTAATAGAATAAATATTAAATAAATTTCAATTATTGGGTTTAATTTTATACGTATAGACTTAGGTACTGACTATAGTGACTACTAGCAGACTGTATAGTACTGCAACCTCATGATTATATTTTAATAATTATTTTGTACCATGTATATTATAACGATGATCATCTGGATTTCAATTAAATATTCTACAAATCCACAGGAAATTAAAATGTAATATTAAGGAATGAATAAAAAAAAAAACACTTATAAAAGTGGATAAAATAAATGATTAAGCGAATTTTGACCTTAATCTAGATATATTTAAAGATTCTTAGTGCATCTGAATTCAAATTTATATTTATCTATAAATCCTACAGCAGTAAATTATACAACACACTGCAGCTGTCATGTCTACGTAACGAAACCACAAATTGATTATCTTAAGCACGCGCATGATAAATTTAGTATGCAACCGTTATAAGCGTACGAGTATTATTCATATAAACACATAAAACCAAATATTCTGAACACCAGGATATATTATATAAAAAATATTCTGTTTGTGAATATTGTCTGTTGAATTATGTCTGTGTTTAATTATGTATACAATCAATATGAATTAAATTATAAATACCAATAAGTATGAATTTACGACAGATTCGTTTGAAAAACACAATATTGGTTTCAAAATTTTACAAGTTATTGATAAATGTTTCATAACATATACTATTATGTATGTAATTAATATGTACACAATAATTATGGAAGTTAAATTAAAAATGTATGCATAGGTTACCGAAGGATTAGTTATCAACAGTAGATATTACGAGTAATGAGTATATATTGCAGATTTAACAACACATTCAAGTGTTTTTCTTTTTATCATACAATTATATAAAATAAACCTGTTGTAATTATGAAAATATACTTAATCGTATATGTAAAGTATAGTATAATATAGAAGAAATCAGATAAATTAACAAAAAACTCCTACGTGGTCTTATTACAATAATTCAGTTTATTATCACATAATCACTGTGTTGAATGTGGGTAGAAAAATATGTTTCGATTTTTTCTTTTTATCAAGATACCCCACATTAATTTTCAGAATTTTAGATTTAGTTTTAAAAAATATATTCTGGTAAATTAAAATTAAATTTGTAGAAATTTCACATTAGGAATATATAAGTGTATTATTATTAATAAATTCAAAAAAATAATAACGAACAGATAAACTAAAACAAATTAAAAAATGTTTCTTATGTTTACAAAAATATTAAATATAATGACCCGCGGCGGAAGTGATCATTTATTGAGATATTTTCTGTCTGTGAAGGTGTGGAAACCGCGGGAAGGAGATTTTTAACCAAGTAATGAAGTAACACCCACGTCCAGTGAGAAGTTTGGCATAGTTTCTATATCCAATTGGTTATATCGTTAGAAAATTATAGTAGTGTGCAGAGTATTTTTTTTACGAGTTCATTGAAGGAAGCAATATAAAAAATATAAAATGCTATTTCTAGCGTTGGCGTGAGTCCACGGATGACTGAGTCAGCAGCGGTTAAATTTGGATTTTAAAAAGTAGTAGATTGCAGTAAGATGGCAAAAAAAACGGCACAGAAAGGCCGAATATTTATCATATATCTTTATTATTATAACAGTGTGGGATAAGAACGAACGCCTTCATATTTATTTGGTTTTATAATATGTGTGGCGCCCATTTCGAAAGTGCAGTACATTAGCTCTATATTCTAAAAACCGGGCCAAGGCGTTAAGATTTTATCAAAATTGGCTCTGTTTTTTTTTTTCTAAATAAATATTATTTATTTATATCAATATAATAAATAAGTATTATATTATTTTCATAATTATTGGCATAACTTTTTTTTTTTTTGATAATTGTTTATTTGTGTTAGTATGTATATTTATTACAAATGTACGCGACACCTCAATAAATTATGATAATTATTGTCAATTATGTCCCTACCTAACCTTACTGGTTTTAAGATTTTAGAAGTAATTGAACATATTAAATAAATAATAAGTATTATGAATGTTAATTAAGAATTTTTAATTTTTAGCATATCAATATATTATTACATAATATTATGAATGCGTTTTCGATGAATATAAGATATAAAGTTAGATAGAATTCATTGAATTATTATTTCATTATCTGATGTAGCAAGTCGCTTTAACCTTTTTCAATTTGTTTTAACGTTTGATATTATACGCATAATATATTGGTAATCTACGTACTTATGTCAAACTATTAATTTTTATTTAACATAATTCTAATTATCAGAAACAGAAAATTTCAAAATTGTAGAAATAAAATGAATAAGTATAGGTATACCTGTCAATAACATTTCTAATGTAAATATTAAACAAATGTGAGAAAAAAATTTTAAATAGCAACCACATTTTAAAATTGTTTACTTTCCTTCTCTCTCTCATCTCTGTTGACTTTAATCCTAAATTAATAACGTTACACAAACACCTGTTTAAAATGATCAGGCTCTTTTTATTATTACGCAGGTATAATATTCACTTGTTAAACCTACAACCTTGAGTAGTTTTATAGATACGCTATTTATTGTTTATTTTCTAATAAGAGGTTACCTATTTATTTATTAATTATTTTTAATCAGGCAGGGTTACAGGCTACAGCTAACTGAAAATTCCATTTTGAAAAGAGACGATAGATGGTTACGCCCATATATTTTTACACTTTAGCAAGTTTACTTTAAAGATTAGAAAGTCAAACATTATAACCATAAACACTAGTCACACTTATAATGTTGTGAAAAATCTTGGAAAATGAGAAACTCACAAAGAACGCGCAGTTTAGTAATCATATAAGGTTTGTCATGTACTCGTGTGTGTATATATTTATATACATAAACTTATAACAGACCTTGGGCTTGGAATGTATTGTTATTGGAATTCAAAATTTGATTCAGCTATTAATTAAGGTGCGAAATTTCAGACAATGTCTAGTTACATGGACCGGCGGCCAATACAATAAGCCATGCTATAAAATCTGACCATTTTAACGATCAATAACGACTGAAGCTAAAACAATAAACTCGCTTCGTAAAATAGTTGAGATTAAATAAATTTTAACTCCAAATTCTGAATTACATTCGAAAAACTCGAAGAAAATAAATATTGAAATATAATATAGATGCATTTATTCATAGAATTTTTAAAATCAGTGTTCGTCTCGCATAAAGTCTTCGTGTCTATGAATATTTCACGGGGCATGAGATGGGTTTATTCGGTAAAATATACTATTAACACATGTGGCTGCAAAAAAGTACCTTGTCTGATGTGGTGTCATGTACGATATGCGAACAGCAACGGCGATGCTAGCACGCGGTCTTTCGGAGCGGCAGATGTTTAACTTTCTTTTTTTTTTTCCCCCGTAACGCACTGCACCCGGACACCTGCAGTATGCCGTTAGATATTATGCGTCTGTAGTCGTCGCCCGCGATGTGATATTTTGAAGGGTTGTCGCTGTGGTTGTAAATCGAATGCGGAACACGCGCGTACTGTATACTGATGCACCGGGAGAATGCGGTCGCGACGGCGTCGAGCGGAAAACTGTCGTGGCTTGCGGTCGACACGCGTTACAGCGCGGCGGTAGGAGCGATCTCGTGCGCGCGACAGTCGCCAACGGTGGAACAGCTTTTTACGGCAGACCGGAGAACGCGCGCGTACGGTGGCGGTGGTGGTGCCGGCCGTCGCGAGCTTCGCTGGTTCCAGTTCCGGTGCGTAGGCGATACGAGCTGCTCGGGACGTGGGCGTGGAAGCGCGGCAGCTCATAGGTTATAGGCTCTGTTGCACGGTGGTTCTGGCGGCGGTGGGAGAAACGTCGCGAAATTCGTCGCTACGGCCCGCCACCGACGCGTGTGCGGGGTACCTATTATTTGGTTATTGGTCATTACTCATTTACTTATAACTTTATTAGTTATTGCTTAAATAAAGGCATATTATGCATTTCATCGGTATGTGTGTGACGTGCGTGCACACGAAATACAAACAGCCGTCGCTCAACGTTCTCCGAGAACATTGTAATCGTTTTGTCAGTTCCCGGAATGCATTACAATAATGCGACGATTTTTATTTACGTTGCACGTCGACCGTGTCAGTGCATTTAGTACACAGTACGACTACGTTGGTACACGATTATAATATTATAATATTATTATTATTTATTACCCACTGTAATCCAGATGGTTATAGGTGCACGTTTTGGTAGGTATTTGCGGTAGGTTCCCCGAGAGCATAGGCGTGTGAAGTTTCAACCGTTTCAAGACGGGTACACCTCAGTTACAACGAACATTTTTTTTTCCACATATATAATGCTCACAGCCCTCGCGACTATCAAGATGTCATAAACTAAAATGAAAAAAAAATAATAATGTAATAAATAATCTTTGAGTACAATATAAATACTACATTTTTTAGTAAACTATTAAAATCAAAGGTTTATTTCACTGGTTCAATGCTGTGTACATTATACAGACATCGAGATTATAAAATATAATATAGGTACTATAAGGCTTAGTAACTAAGCCCTTGGTGTAGGTACTAATCCATCGGTAGGACGTAGTTTCAAATTGTAGGCCGTTAATCTCTATTAAATTCAATAAGTATTAGTACCTACATTATAAAAATGTTTTATCTCCTCCTTTGGTTCTATTTACACGTTAAATTTATAACGTATAAAAACTTGATTACGCAAATCACTCTAATGCTTATCAGTTATCATCATATTTATTTCTCCAATTTTCACACAAATGAGTCATTTTGTAATTTTTTTAATGATTCTAAAGGAATGTTGAAGATTAAAAAGGATAATGCCTTCCTCTTGTCACAAACCAGATTCTATTTTAAGGTTTTTAATTACCTTTTTTTGTATATTCTATATTCTTTTCAGTCAGTGCTCTCTTACAGTTTTCATCATGATGTTTTTTCTTCAAATCTCAAAACTCAATTTTTCACTACTTTTTTTTTAATATATTCTATAGACTATATGCTAATACTTTTATTCTATTCTAAATTACATCGAAATGGTATATTTCTTGTATTAATTAATATGTTTTTATTTATTTTTGGTACTGTCGAATTAACTGACTTTTTAACGCTTCAAAAATGCGTCTAATTTTGACTTGAACTTTTACAAGAAAATTGCTCGGTATTGTACATTTGCTTTAATTTTATCTATCATACTCTGAATATAATATGTGATTTTATATGTAAATTATATTATAATTGTGTTTAAAATATATACATAAATTCTTAATAAAATAAGTATTTTTCATTTTAGTATGTACACAAGTACAGTCTGCAGATATTTTTTGGAAGTATTGAAAGTAATTGACTTAATATAAAAATAAAAATTTATGAAAATTATTAACGACTAATTTCAGAATCTTCATTATCTTGGTATTTGATAGAAAATCAAAACAGGCGTCAGGAAATTATATTGCAGCATAAATAAATACAGTTATTTTAGTAAACAAAACATATTATAGCATATTTTAATTGTAGTTATATAATATATCAATATTTAATGTTTTATTGTCTGGGTAATAAAATGCCTCAATTTTTTACATCACTCTTAACAGTCTTAACATATTATATAGTTAACTCAGTGGCGTTCCCAGGAATCAAAAATTGGAGGGGAATAAAGCTTATGACCAGGACTCGAAAGTTATAGTACTAAAAATATTACTTTTTAGCTCTTGAATATATACACTTTAAAACTCCAAAATATGCGCTATAAATAGCTCGAAAATCATAAAAATATGCATTTAACTTCAAAAAATTATAAATTTACTATAAAAAAATTAAATATTATTTAATAATATTATAATTTACAATTAAAAAGTAAAAAAATATCTTCAATAATTCATATCTTTTTAAAAATATAACCAAACAAATCATTATTTTTAACAAAATACAAATATTTAATAAACTTAAAACTACCTATGTGAAAATATTACCTAAAATAGTTCTAAAAACACTAAATTAGCAAAATAACAATAAAAACCGTAAACATGCAAAAAATAGCAAAATAAAATTTCGTGTATGACAATAGAGAAGTGTAATGTGTAAAACATATTTGTATTTTGCTTTGGATATTCTAGGACGAACCAAGAAAAATATGCATTTGCTACAACTTCCGAGACCTACTTGTGACCATAGTTCATGGACTAAGATATTAGTCATTAATCTGCAATAAGTCACATAATAGTATATCATATTCCGTGCTGAATGCTGAATGCTGAATGCTGATAACTGTATACTATGTAGATGGGTACATTTTAAATATTAGTCTGTACTGTCTGTACTGTGTGATATAAACATAATGGTATATTTTTCCTGCAGAGTCAGACAGTCACAACTCACACTCTATAATATAAATGTGCGCTTACTATCATGTCCGATATCCTGAACAGCGGACCGATAAGTACCTAATTATTACTTATTAGTTATAACTTATAAGATATTAACATTTAACACTAGACGCCACGTAGAAATGCTCTAGGAATACGTATTGTAATCTGATCGGCACTCAATAGTCAATATAATGCCAAATGTATTTATTACAAGATATACCGATATATATTTATTATTTAACACTTAAATATATCTTAATCTGTATACGAATTATTAATTTAAATACAATAGTAGAAATGTATAATTAACTTGTACGCAAGTACGATTTGTTTACTGAAAACGTTAAGTTGTTTGTTTTAGCCCGCTTTAGGCTTTTATTAAATAATTTATTCTATAAAACATAAAATTTAATAAATCAATAAAATTCAGTTATATATATGTACCTAATACCTACAATAACTTACATTATAATTTAGAAAGCATCAACTACTTATTTTTTTTTTTTTTTTTTTTTTGTTATACTTATATAATCTAATAAATATTGGTATAGGTATTATTAAAAATTAGGCATAAATCTAGTTTAGCGCCCATGCGAATTTTTCAATTTTTGTTTTCAGAAACCTTTGTTTGCCTAAGTTTCAAAAAAAAAAAATAATTAAAAAAATCATTATAAGCGCGATAAAATGGAGCGTTGTACCTTCACGTGCGCAAAATACCAAAAATCGTGATTTTCGCAAAGTTTCAACTCAAAAACTAATGATTTGCTTCAATTTATTTTTGCATCATCGTTGAAATACATTGATTTTTGAAAAAAAATATATGATATATATAATACGTAATTAGAAAATTGTTCATTTATGAGAAAAAAGTTCGAACAACCATTTTAAATTTTTGTTTAACTCAAGAATATGCTGCTTAGATAAATACAACCTTGAAATAATCAAATATGTAGTTCTAAATGTGCACATTACACGTGTTGTTTTTTACAAAAGTAATTTTTCTAGATTCAAAATGAAAGTGTCTTTACATTTTTGTAAAATTATCAAATTTTCACAGTTTATAAGGGAGAACATTATCTAAACTTGAATCCATAATTTTTAAATATTTTATTTAAAATTACAATCTAAGCTTTTAAAGTTCAAATAAAAAAAGAATTATTTAATTTAATAAAAAATTGTCATTGTTAATCATATAATGTTTTATATTTTTTTGACAATTAGCATAATCATTCGTGTTATTTGATTCATCAAAATGTCTTATTGTCTTAATATTACTTAAACATTGCAAAACCGGGACAAGTTTTTTAACTATATGACTAGAAATATAGAGTATAATACATTATATCAATAATAGTTTTTAATAAATGGATCGTTATTCATTACTAAATAGTAAATACTTACATTGTCTATTTGCTAGAAATATTTTTGTTATTGATTCTTCCACATCATCTTGATCAATAGATGATCATTTATATCTGTAGTTAAAAATTACTTCATACTTAAGAAAACCACTTAACCACAACCAGAGCGATTAACATATCCCAATCACACAGCAAGTTTATGGTATTTTAAATTAAAAAATTTAATAAAGTAAAAATAAATACTTTCTTGATTGTTTTCTAAACAAAAATCAAGACACATTGTTAAAACATCACTATATTTAAAATGTATAATACATATTAATTTGTTTATTGTTTAATAAATATTTATAGGTGATGAATATAATTTATTTTTGATATTTGTTTTTTTTTATATACATTAATAATTATAAATAATCTTATCATTTTTATACAAGCATATTTATAATTCATTTTAAATTAATGACATCTATGTACCTATAATTTATTTTGAATTATATGCTTTTGTATAACCATTGATTATAGAATAGTTTATATTTATATAGTATATTATAGTATATTCTATAATCAATGGTATAACATATTATGTACGATTTGACTTGAAGTACCCGCCAAATTATAAATTAGGTATCATGTTAATCATGCATTATGATAAGTGATAACACTATAAAGGGCCCACGAGCACAGATATCTATACCACAGAAAACTATTGAAGCAATACTCTCGGACGGCCAATGTTAATGTGTTTAGAATTTTTAACGGCCTTGAAATAGTTCGTAACTTCTTACTTCTTGTCTTACCGCCAAGCTTATAACATCATTCTTGTTGTCACGGCTAATCATACAATAAATATGTGATAACTGATAAGAATATTGTAAATAATAATAAATAATAAATTATAATAAAACATCAATTTTTTTTGATTATTTTTTTGTTATACGATATGGATATTAAATTTATGAAGTTTAGACTAGTATAATTTTAAAAATATTAATTCAATAACATTGTAAGTATATTGTTTTTCAGATATGAATTTATTAATGCATACTTATTAGTGATTTAATATATACAAAGAAATACCTTCTATAAGCCAAGCTCATGTTTAAGGTAGAGGGTTACAATTAACTAAATATATAAACAATTTAACAACAAATTTAAAATAAAAAATATACATAACATTACAACAATATTTATAAATTACATAAAATTTGCAATTTTCTATTTTTCATGCGAGGTATTTGCAAATTTTGGTTAGTTCTGATCAAAGTAGTGTAAATTCTAAATCTTATAAATAAGTTTAACAAATAGTCATGGGGGATATGCATGTTCAAAGTATACATTTAACATTAAAGTTCTGGTATATACCTTCTACCTTTTGCTTTCACTGTACATAATCGAGCTTGATTTTTGATAAAATTAACATTGTTGACTTACTAGCAAATAATGTGTACACATATTGTTGAAGTCTGATAATGTCACTGGTCCATCTAATCGGTCTTGCAGATTTGCATTGATAGTTTTAAGATTATCACATTCTTTTAAAGCTGATTTTAATTGAATTTCAGTGTAACGTAATCTTTTTTTCAATTTCATTTTTCTAGGTGTGTTTTGAGATAAAACTAGTCCAGCCTGAGTTTCGGAATCTGTAATAAAATATTTTTTGTTGGTTACAATTTTAATTGTAATGGATAGTTTATAGGTAATATATATTTTTTAATTGAGGCAATATATATGTAATATAAACTACCTGAACAAGGTGTTGAACAACTTGATGAAAGCCTTGATGAAATATCTAATGTTGAACAGTTTTTTGAACATCCAGGTAATAGTTCTGGTGATAAAGGAAATAATTCAACTGGACTTAAAATAGAATCTAAATTTAAAAACTTAATTAACCACATGTCTTGAAAATTATAATGTTTTAATATTTATTCTTACCATTTGTAACATCAATATGTTCTAAAGATGGAGGAGTAGCACATTTTTGTACATCAACAGTCTCAGTAGTCACACTGTTCATTTCAACAGGCGTGAACAATTTTGGAACTGCATTCAATTTTAAACGGTTTGTGTTTAATAAATAACAAGTAGGATCAAAATGGTCAGAGCAGATTCTTTTTTGAGAAAGTCTAGATGTATCTTTTAAACCAATATTATGAATCCAAATATTACACCTATAATTTTAAATAAACATTTCAATTAGAAATAAAACAAAATAATAATATGGTATAATAGTATAAATCAGTTAGGTATTTTTATGATAATAGTATTAATTTTAATTCAATGCCTTAAAACATATTCTGTAGTTATAATAAATAATGGTTAAACTAATTTAAATATACTTACAGATTTTTATCTTTGGGAAAATGATGAAATATCATTTCGTATTGACCTTTATTTTTACAAATAACACAAATATTCGGCATTTTGTAAGATTACAAAAATCAAGGAAAAAAAATAACATGTAAATAATCCAAAGGCGTAAAAAACAACCGTTCAGAACAGAGTACAAGACGTGTGTCAGCGAAATTGAATACCGCAATCCTCAATATTAACAAAACAGACAATTAAATTTTTTAGGTAACAGTGTGACCCATAAACATAAAAAGACGGGACTTGTTGGTGGCGTTCCTAACAAAAAATTTTGAGTGCGCCATCCTAAAAAAAATAATTTTGAACGGGGAGGGGTTATACAAATCTTATTAAGTGGCACGATTAATCGTGGTAAGTGGTAATATGCAGTGACCTTTTTTTTTAAAAGATTGGCGGGCTAGTCTCGAGCAATCCGTTTTAAAGATAAAAATGTTTGTAACATCATGTCCTACCGCCAAGCTTACAACATCTTCTTGTCGCACTGATATTATTAAGAAAATAAAAGTGGAGGGATGAGTGTCGCTTCCATAGAATCTATAGACAGTGTTCTGTGGTATAGATATCCATATCTGTGCACTCGACACCACCGAGATAGATAATATCAATTATAAATATTTCGCGTGCGCGTATACGACATCAGAGATATGATTTGAAAAATAATATGAAATAATATGCAAGTCCACACGCATGTGCATATCAATGGTTAAATGAGCTGGCGTAGCATGTTTTAAAATTTCGCGTCCGGCTCACGACAAGTGCCGGCTAACCTCCGCTATACCAGAACCTCACCCAGTCACCCACCGTGTAGACAGTGGTTCTCAATGTTCTCATTTTATTGTTGCGATTCGGAACGACGGCGGCCCAGCACGAACTATTGGCGTTATTGTTCGTTTTCAAACTTTATGCATCCTATGGACCACATTCCTCGTTTAACTTTAAATGTTTTAAAACCTATATATAAAGGACGGGTGGCATGTATGGTATGTTAAGTTGTATTCGCATCTACTTGTGGTATAGTGTTTTCTTTGCATTATAGTGTGTTCAGTGTTGTGTACACGTGCGTTTACGGTCGTAATACGTTACTAATATATTCTTTTTTTAAATACTTAGTGTTTCGCATATTTATTACTTCTTTTTTACAATAAAATGTCATTTAAAGATAAAGATCTGCATAGCCAAAGTAAAAAAAATAGTTTATAAAGTTTATTTATATTTTAAAAAACTATCGAAATCAAAAGAACTTGCAGCACCAACTTTTTTTCGAAAAACGTAAGACATTACTGTTGAGGCTTACGGAATATAGAAACACTCCATTCAGTGTATTTGCTCAGAAGTAAAGAAAATTGATAAATTACCTGAGACGGGCCCTTCTTTTTCATCTCTACGTAAGTCATACAAGCGGGCAATGTATGTCTCAAAGTTGGATGATTTCGACAGTGATGTGGTATAAGGAGAACGATTCATGAATTTTACGACAGTGGCGAGTATCCTAGATCACAATTAATACTTAATACTGTCAAGAGCAAAATTAATTACTCAGGAAGTGTAAGTTCAATTAAAAGACTCCTAAGTAATTTAAAATTTTTTTATAAAAAATGTATTGACAGTCGTAAATTTTTGATGGAGCGTAACGATATAGTTGCGCTCAGATGTGAATTTTTAAGATACATTTGTACAATGCGCCAAAATAAAGATTCTCGACCTATTGCAGTGTATGTTGATGAAACGTGGGTAAATCAAAATCATTAGAGGAGCATTGCATGGCAAGATGATAATATGGTGGGTCCGAAAATCCCTATTAGAAAAGGCGGATGTCTTATAATTGTTCACGCAGGATGTGCCAATTCAGAATTCAGAATTCAAAATTGGTTTTCCGTAGTAATATTGGCAACTTTATGGATTACCATAGCCAAATAAAATCTGAAGTATTCAAATCTTGGTTCATCCAAATGTTGAAGAACCTTGAAGAACCGTCTGTGATTGTTATGGATAATGCATCCTATTATTCAACCCTCATCGATAACTTTCACAAAAGTAATACGCGAAAAGCAGATGTGCAGGCTTGGTTGACCAAAAAAATGTCTGTTTTTCAGCATTAAAAAATCTAACTGAACTTAGACTGAGAGTTAAGGCATTAATACCATTTGAAAAAAAATATTAATTGAATGTATTGGCATTGGAAATGGGCCACGAAGTAATTTGTCTTCCACCGTACCATTGCCAATACAATCCAATTGAGATAAAATGGTTCCAGATAAAAACTCAAGTGGCGAAAAACAATACAACATTTAAAATGGTTGATATTGAAAAATTGACTCACCAAGCATTGGATTATTTGGATTCGATTACTCAACACGATTGGGAGAAGTATGTGTGACATGCCGAAGAATTGCAAGACACAGATAATGAAAAAGAAATTATGAGAGAAAGCATGTTGGAGCCAATTATTTTGACTTTGTTACCTGATGACAGCGATTGGAGTCCAATGACGATGAAGTAAATTCGGAATAACATTCGCAAATTTACAATTATGTATTATAATTATATCCACTTGTACAGTTATTTTTTTTTATTCTGTTATTATATTTTATTGTATGTGTTAAATTTGTTTTATTATTATTATCAATTACATATTATAATTATATTCACTTGTATAGTTATTTTTTTATTGTAATATTTTATAGTACTGTGTGATCTGTATGTATTATGTTTGTTTTATTTGTTATTATTATCAATTTTTTTTTATAATATTATATAATAATACAAGCGTATTTGAAAAAGCGCGGTAAATTATATTGTTGTTTGATAATCACTACAACAAATAGTCCGTTTGGATCGTGACGGTCAACCGCCTCTTTTGGTGAGTAGGATTTTTTTTTTCATAGTAGAATTATTACTGTAGTAATATGTATGGCTATTATAAAATCAATGAATAGGTAGGTAAAACTGTAAAATTTATGTAGATTGAAGTCGAAACCACTTCCTCATAAAATTTAAATGTTTTAAATTGACCCAGTTAAAATGATTGATAAGTAATTATAACAAAAACAATAATTATGAGTTATGACTAATCGTTAAGTGTCATCATACATTCATACCGAAAATTCGGTCTATTAGGTTTACCTTTATCTATAACCGTAAAGTACAGCGTTGAGTAGTTGGTACCAATGACCTAAGGTTGGTACAACGTTTGTGTTGCTCACAATTGTAGTCAACCAATCACCGACTACTTGTGCGACCATAAAAATGAACCAATAGTATGTTACAATTAAAGAGTTTCAATTGGTCGCGCTCTTTACAAGATTTTCTTTTACACCCAATAAGTACATTGGGTTATTTTCAATTTAATGGTAATAATAAAAAAATATATATTCTATTATTTTGCACTAAAGTTTTTATTTAATAATAGATAAATACCTAAATATATTTAATCTTTAACTAAAAAAAAAAAAAATTAATGATATAAATATTTTTAATTCTAAATATTATGTAATTAATTTACATAGATTTAATTAAATAACAATAATAAGATTATTTTAGTTCTAAATTATTAAGCAAAATTTTAAAGTAGTTTTATGACAGTGAAAAAATTAAAAATCAAAATTTTACACTTGAATAAAAATAAATTTCTTAAATTCAATTATAAATTTGTAAAATTATTATAAAATATTCTTTTAATAGTATGGATAATAAATTTTACTACAAGCTTTTAATTTAACAATATTTTTTATAGATTTTAATACAATTATAAAGTAATAACTTGATAGACATAAAATTATATTACATAGTAAAAAACCTGTTGAGACATAATAGAGTAATTAATAGACAATAACTAAAATTCATTATGTAACAAGGTAACCAAATAAAATAGTAATAGGTTATTTTATAAAGTAATAATAATAAATAATCACACTATCAATTGTTTTGTTATTAATAATGTATATATCTAATATAATGGCTACAACTGAAAGCAAAAAAAAAAAAAAAAACTTGACTTTGCTATAAATTTAATAATAATTGATAAATAAAGGCAAAGTTACAATGGAAAATTGAAAAAAAAACTTATACTGATATCATAGAAATCTTTAACAAACCTTAATAAATAAATCAATAACAAAATAATAATGAAAAACTAATTTTTTTTTTTTTTTTTTTAGAGCATAAAATCTTTCTCATCGTCGTTATCAATTTCACTGTTATTACCCCCGTCATCATCTGATATGATAATAGTCTCACTATCATATGTTACACTACGTGCACAATACATATGTTCAGTCTTAAAGTCCTCATCGTTACAAGCAGATTCAGGAAATCCGACTGTTGATGTTAATTGTGGGTCATTAGAATTTTCAGGTTCGTTATCATTGAAGTTTCTTTCTTCATCAATTACAATCTCTTCTATAAGCCAATCTTGAACGTCATTAATAGGGGCAGGTGCAAAATTATCAGCCTCTGCATAATTCATTTCATAAACAATTTCTTCTTCAATAATTTCACCATCCTCAGACGACTCATTGACTTCTACTTCTTGTATTAAATCACTGGCAAAACATGACTTTTCATTACTAGACACAGTATTCATCATCTCCCAACGTTTTATGCATTCTGTGTTTGATATTTCAGAAGCATTTATTTTTGAAGGTGGTTCATCTTCATAATCATGTACTTTGTTTTCAGATACACCGTCAACCTTGATATTAAAAAATTCACTTTGTGCTGAATTTTCTAAATTTGACTTATTGGTAATGTTTTGTTCGTTAATAGAGTTTGAATCATCTGCATCTTTAAGTGAACAATTGTCGTTAATGGAAAATGAATTAAGATTATTTATTGTATCAACCAATATATCGATGCCATTTTCTTTTTTAGAAAAACATTTTAAACGTGACTCATTGAAGGGCTTGTTTTCAACTATCCCGTTTATCTTGGCAAGTGATTCATCTGTACATGCTTTGAGAATTTCTGTTATGCCTACATCATAAGTAAATTTAAATTTCATGCAACCGATTAATATTATAGACTCATTCCGCAGGATAGCAAAACCAGAGTAACCATCCTTTTGAACAAGTCTCTTAGAACACTTGCATTGAACTTTTTGATAACTATGTTTCATGTTCTTGTACTTACTGATATAATATTTAGACATTGGTTTGTAATTAAATGCACGTTTCTTACCAGCATATTTAATTACTGGTTTTTCATCGTCACTGTTAGTGGTGACTTGAATAATTTTATCTTTTTGAATTGTTTTTCTTTGTTTATTTATGTGCCGTTTAAGACTAGAATCAACTTTTTTCAGTTCATGATTATTTGATGGTTTTCTACGATTTCCAAAATAGGATACATTATCAACTATAACACCAAATCGACTTAGATTTTTCAAAATAAAATCCCCAGTTTTCTGAAAATAAAAATAATAAAATAATAATACATAAATAAATAAAAATATTAAAAATAGTAAATTATTAGATTCATCAACTGAAAAATTACAAAAATTATTAGAATTCTTTGATAAAAATTTCAAATTTATAAAACTTCTAATTTACTAAATAAATTCATCAACATACAAACATTGACAGACTTAATCACATTAATAAATTTAAAAAAAATTGAAACTGCTAAAATTTTTTTTATTTTACATGACTTTTACATGAAGCAAAGATATAAACGTTATGGTTGTACAGTAGTTTGGCATAAGCCACACAATAATGACTTACAAATATTCTTATTAAAAATAAAAGAAAAATGAAAAGGTGGTAGCATTCCTCACGGATATCAAATATAGATACATACTTTACATTACATCATGGATTTGATAATAAATTAATTTTAAGATCTAGCCATACACAATTATTTTTTTATTGGTAGGTATTGTTATTTTCAGTGATGTTTACAATTTATGAGTAACCTAGATGGCGCTAAACTTTTTCATAAACTTGTAAAATTTTTTGTTATCATACTATCTAGTAACAATATACAGATACTAACATGAATAAATAACAGAAATTCGCAAAATATTTTTAAATATTTTATTGATATGCTATGGGAACACTTATCTATGAGCTTGATACACAAGAATCATAAAAAATAAATTAATGGATGGCAAGTAAATTGTAATTAAAGCCTATTATTATCATTAATAACTACCATACTGTTCACAGAAAACTTAAATTATTTAATTGTTTACATAATAAAAATATACTTCTTAATTTTTCTCAATCTTTATTGTTGATAAGTAAAATCACATGCTGTTGATACACGTCAACAGCTGTTGATATTTAGTATAAAATTGTTGACTTAAGGTAGACAGTCACTAACTGCACGTTCATTTGACCGCAACTATATTATAGTTGAAAAGTGGTCAGCCAATGAGATGTCACATTTAGTACAAATTTTATGTAACGGGGATGTTACCTAACCTAACCTTTTTTTTTACTGTTTTATAGACGACGCCGCGGGTACTGCTTTCACATTACTTCCGCAGTGTCACCAACCTAACCTAACCTAACATAACGTATTTAGATGAATATTGGATTGGGTTTTTAAGATTTTTTTTATACTTATTACAACCAAAAATTAAAATAATCCTGACGGAAAACAAACATTAAGTACACGACAATCGCGACTCACATTTCGTTGACTTAATATTAATTAAATATATGGATTTAGTGTAGTTTTTTTATATCGTCAAAGGAGCATAACTTGTTTATTTATTCTAACAAAACTTTTAATAATTGTAATTTTATTTAATAATAATAATTAGTAATTAAAACAAGTATTAATATCACAAAGAGACATACAAGAAAAAAATAATCATAATTTTTGATTCCATCATATTTTTAAGTTATTATATTTCTTTGTTATCAACTATGTAAACAATTAATTTTAATACTAAAAATTGAAATAATGATAAAAAAAAGCAGTTATTAATAATAATTGACGAAATTCTGATTTATTTTAATACAAAACTTAACTCTTTTAAACTAAATTTTAAAATATGATCAACAATGTAATCACTTTAAATTATGAATAGCAAACAACATAATATAAGGTAATTGGAAAATTATTTTATTTTAATACATGGCACACTGTTTGGACATTTAATTTTACATGGCTAAAATATTATTCAATGTATTTATTACGCGAATAAAATTACTTTATAATAAAATATTTTAGCAATCTGAAATTAATCTTAACCATTAATAACTATTTTAAGCATATATTTTATGAAAAAACTATATTTTAAACATAAAGAGAATATGTCGGTTCTACGGATAGTGACTAACAACAAAGTGCTAACCTGATCTAACCTAACCTAACGACAACACCTAATTGGACGAAAATGCGCAAAATGAACAGATTTTTTTTTGATCCACGATGGGTTCCATCAATAGATGTAATTTAAATTTTCTGATGTGTTCTACATTTTATAATAATCTGTATACTGCCAGATTATTTTAAATAAAATTGGAGAATATAAAATCATAAAAAAATCATTATAATTAATCAACAAAATGTTTATATGTTGGAATTTTATATTTTATTATAAATCAAAGGTAATAAAATTCCTATAAACATATTTTCAATTATATTTATTATATCACTGTATTATATGGTAAGGGTGTACTTAATAATTATCTAAAATAATTCATAGGAATAAGAAATTGCTAAATAAAAAATGACTGAATTACAAGTATTTATAACTTAATTTAATATTGTTTAAAAAACAATTAATACGTACTTTATCAAATCTGATTGTAGCATGATAATCAGATATATTTTCGCAATTTCCATAATGTTGCAAACTAAGTCGATTTTTAAGACCTGCAAAAATGTATAATATGGGAAATGAAATAACCATATTAATTTATAAATAAATAACTTACTCTTGCCAATCGTTAATACTTCTCTCTGTACAGATACATTTAAAGGTACAGATAAACAAGACAAAGTAGCACTGCAACTTTTAGGCGGTAAAATTTTGTTTTTTTGCAGTAATGTATCAGAAACATAATTTGTAACACTGCCAGTTTCTAAAAAAAATTAATATTAAACAGCTGTTAATTTATTTTTATTCACTCAATTGAAATCTAATAATTGCAAAATGTTTGTTTCTTATAAGACTATCACTTACCATTTGTCTTATCAATAGAATTTATTGATTTTAATGCAATTGATGCAACATCACTGAAAAAAAATAGAATATTAATAAGATTATTATAAAAATTAAAAATATAACTAGATGTGACAAATATTTTAAAGAGTATTTTATAAAGGATGCATGTTATCAAATACATATTTTTATTTCAATTTTGGCAATATTGATTCATTTACATAAATGATATCATTTATTATTTTCATTAAAAGTAGATAATCAATAAGAAAACTTTTCATTTCATCCCAACTATTTCAATCGGCTGAATTAAAATATTAGTACATTTAAAAATTTGATGAAAAAAAAACTTGATTATTTTATTGTTAATTGGAATATTTGGTATAAAAATGATAAGGACAATGTTGCCAACTTTAGGTTGGTTACTCAAAACCTAAACTAACCTAAGTGATTCTTTAGATCATTTAATTATGAAAATAATGTTTTACCATAAAATATTTAAAGATGAATTTTCATTAGATGTTGTTGGAACGCTATCTTCTGGCTAGATATAAAAAAATAAATAAATTATTATTAATATTTTTTTTTTTTTTAACAGTAATACTATGCATGAGTTTATAGTTTAGGATATAATCATATCCTATACAATCTTAATAACCATGCAAAGTATTACTCATTTTTAATAAAAATTTTAGACTAAGACAAACCAAATAAAACAAAAATGTAATTAGCCAAGATAGGGTAATTTTCAATAATATAATTAGGTTGTGTTAGGTTCAATATACCAAAATTATAATTAGGTTATGCTAGGATCAACCTATCAAAATATAATAAGTAATGTTAGTTCTAATTTATTTAACATCATAATTATATTTTTTACACTCGGCATAGTTTGTTAATAAAAGATTTCAACTTAATTTAAATATTATGTATCTTTAAATTTATTTAAATCTTGCTTAACCATTTGAAAACTTGTTACCTTTTTATACATAGCATCAATTTTACTAGGTATGTTGAAAAATTTGTTTACAGGCATAGATGGCAGTTCACATTGTGTCCTTTTTGTGGTTATATTATTAATAGTCTGTAATCCTTGACCAGGAGTGAAAACATCAGGATATGCTAATTCCTAATATTTAAAATTTAAATATACACGTATTAGGGTAAACAGTTATAAAAATTAAACTAAAAACATATTAAATACAACATTTAATTACTAACTAAAAACTGGTCGTGAGCTGGACAGACCCATCTCATACTATGATCCCAATCACGAATAGGAGGGTCTAAACAATTGAGGTGATATAGTCGAGTACAATGATGACATTGCACTAATCGTCCATGAAGAACACATTTTTTGCAAACAACACATCTATCGTTTTTGCGGATCATTTTTAGTTTATCCAACTGTTTTCTAGCAGGAAGTTTTACATCTGTTAAAAATGATAAATAGATGAAAGTATTGTAAGTGAGAAAAAAAATAAGACAATACATACTGAATTTGCGTTGTATTGGTACTTCTTCGAGGAATGATTCAAATGGATCGAACGGATATTCAAAATCAAATATTTTTTTTATCTTGAGTCTAACTTCTGTAAAATAAATAATAATTTGTTAAGTACATAATAATTTTTAATCTTTCAAATTAAAATTAAAAGTAAAATGGTAACTTCTATTGTAGTTTACCTTCATATTTTTTCCTAGAAAAATCAGGATTGAATATTTAATTCTAAAACATACAATACAACAAGTTAACATGGGAAAATCAGTCATTTGTGATAATTATTTAATTTTACTCACATTATCAACATAGATATAGGCTTCGCTAAATCAGTGTCCACCAAGGAAATTATTCATTGCATGAACACAAATATTTACATAACATTATAATATATGTATTAGATATTTAATTAAAGCATGCATTAATAATAATAATAATAATATTATTTTACGGGGTATCTAAGGATTTTTGATATTGTCCGCTGCACACAAATCCTGTACTATCACTGCATAGATTACATGTTGTAGGATCAGTGGCCTTAGATGGATTTTGGATATAAGCAACTTCTAGTCTTTTTTTATTGTTCACCGAATTCGGTTCAGCAATCAATCTCATTATTTCCTAAGAACCAAATAAAATATAAGAAACATGGTTTGGTAAGTACAGCCATATTGTTTAGATCAAAATTGTTTGGTGCACATTTGCAAGCGTCCCAGATAGTTTAGGAAAAAAAAAAATATATCGATCGACTAATAGTACTGACGACGCAGAATATTCAATACTTCACGTGCTGAAAACACACTACACGATGAAAAAACATCGAAAACAAATAAACAAGGGCGGCGCCCAGTCCGCGCAACGCAGCAGATCACCTCGTCACCCTTGTGCGTCGTGTTCGGCCTAGTCGCGCGGACTCGCTTCGAAAACGAAACGTTAAAGGCGACTCAGGGACGACCACCAAAAATGTAGTTGAACTGCACGATGGGCTTACCTTCATCAGGTCGATGGGTCCGGGCGAAACCGATTTCTTGGCGGCCATTACGACAACGATCAAATTAATCGACAACCGTCGCGTGCGGTCGCGTGTTCGTACTCGATGTAATAAACGTCAGTGCGCACTTGAACAGATTACACGAGTGGTTCGTGAACGATAAACGACGACAACGAAATCGACAGAATGACAATCGAAAACATCGGCCCGAAGAAAAACGCAAAACGGGCAGATGGCCTACACCCGATGCGTGCGACAACAAATGGCGGCGTCGGTCGTGCGGGAGACGAGACGTTCAGGCGATCTAACAGCAGTAATACTGTTCGGGCACGGCCGCGACGTATTTCTACGATATATAAACACGATAAATCAAAGAAAACGCGGTTGGCCGGGATTAATGACGACGACTTTGACGAGGTGACAACGCAGACGACGTGATTCTGTTATGACCGATGGCGGACGGACGGCTGACAAACGTAAACAGACTGACGCGCAAACGAGCCGATCGAACGCCGAGACGAGGGGCACCGAGGACAGCGGTGCGCGCGACGACTCGGACGTCGGATACGCGGAGCGCTCGCGACGGATGTCGTAGTTTTAGACCTAACGCCCGACGGCCAAGGGCGACAATGGATTTTGGTGCTGTACCACACAAAACGTACGACTACGGTACGCGACACGTAAGACTGCAAATAGTGCAAATGTGTACGACACTACGACCACCAAAGACCGTTGTTGCTGTGTGCTCAAGAGATCGGAGCCGCTCTGCCGTCGTTATTGGTCGGCTGCCCGTTCGATAGAGCGCGATCACCGAGACAACACGGACGACCGCCGAAATAGTATGACATGCTATGACGCTGCCGAACGGTTCGAGGTGGACAACGGACGGCGCAGTAAACACTAAACATTTAACAGGTAACAACTTCGGTGATTTTTGTTTTTTGTTTACCGTCGCACCGACCGCGGTGGCGGTAGCAGTGGAACATCTTGTTATGATTTCACTTCATGCTCCATGTGTGTAATATTATCTACCTCCAAGCCCGACCTCCATGTGTACAACACTTACGGTTTTCTTTTTTTTCGTGATTTCGTTTTTATCAGTGCAAGCAACACTGGTTGCGCAGTTTCACTCTCTTAACAGTCTTAACTATAATTTTTTTTTTTTTTTCAATTTTTTTTATTTTTTATATTTTTTTTGTGGTTATAAACACGGCAAATGTGATTCTCGACCACTTTAAATTTTATTCAAACCCTACGATTTACTACACTACGAATTCTAAGTTTTTTTCTGCCATTCCTAGGTACCTTTAGATCTCGGTCGGTAACTGCACAGGAAAAAAGGGTATTTTACAACGGTACCGATGGCGTCCAGAAGCAGGCTTAGTAGGAACGATAATTCTATGGCGGAACGGCGGTTGAGACCGATTTATGGTATTCAAATAGTTCTCCTATAATTCGACGTTCTTAAATTTATTTTTGGTTTTTTTTTTCTTACAGAATGGATAGACAATGGTAATTATAAAAAGGCCTTGCACGAGTTGGACAAATTAATAAAAAAATTACCCAGTCAAAATTGTTCCAAAGTATGAACCAAATGTTTAGATTGAATTATTAAGTAGATTTTTCTAGTCAAAGTATTTGGAACTATAACTATATTTATTTCATACAGGCATTGAAAAGCTTAACCTTAGTCCGACTTGGAAAAGACCAAGAGGCAATAACATTACTGAAAGAAGTTAGAGAATGCAAGCCATCTGATGAATCAACATTGCTTGCATTAACGGCATGCTATAGAGAGTTAAAAAAACGTAATTTTAATAGTATTTGTGTTTTAGTTGATAAAATATATTTTATTTTAATTGTATAGCTCATATGGTGTGTGAAGTATATGAGGATGCTTTACTTCAAGATCCAGTCAATGAAGAATTATTATCTAGTCTTTTCATGTCTTATGTTCGCGTTTGTGACTACAAAAAACAACAGCAGACTGCATTAGCTCTTCATAAAGTTAAACCAAATAACCCATATTATTTTTGGGCAATAATGAGTATTGTTATGCAGGTACATTTTAAGTTATGAAAATATTACTGATATAAATTCAACAAATAGAATATAGATTAATATGTTCATTTTTTTTTCATTTGCTAGGAAAAATATAAACAATGATGAATTTATTAATACTATAACCTTTGAATTATTACCTATAGTTTCATGATTGATTAAGATTCTTATTTATTTTAAGGCGTATCAGGCAAATGATGAAATATCAAAAAGAATTACTCTACCATTAGCAGAACGAATGGTTCAAAAATATATCAATGAAGACAAAATTGATGCTGAACAAGAAATTCAATTGTACTTAATGATATTAGATATGCAGGTATAATTGTTACATAAATTAAAGTTTCTTTTTGTAAAGTTAAGTATATATTAAAAAATTTTCAGAAAAAATACAAAGAAAGCTTAGATATTCTTAATGGACCTCTTGGTGATAAGCTTCATCGAACTGTTGGTCTCACGCGGAAAAAGATTGATATTTACTTTGAATTAGAAATGTATGGTGAAGTAAACTCATACCTAAAAAGTTTACTTCTTAAAGAGTAAGTAATTTTGTATAGTTTATTATAACTTATATACATTAATTTTATTTTAAACAATTTGTGATGGTATTTTTATTGTTTAATATATAAAAAAATATTGGAATGTTAAAAATAGTAAATAGTTAAGCTGGTAAACTAATACTTTTTTGTTTTTCTCACATGTAATGATACTATTTTCTAATGAATGATTTATAAAGTAGCTGTTAGCATCATTATAACTTTTTGTGTAATACCATAGATAAAATATTTTTGAGATTTACAAAAAAAAAAAAAAATATAGTTTAATTGAAAATTTTAATATTTTACAATTTTTTTTTAGAATGCCAAAAGCATTTTTAATATATTTTTTTTGATTATTTTAGATTAATATACTATTTTAATTTCAAGTATTTTTGTTATTAGTATTTGCTAACATTAACAATAACAAATATAAGATAAGGTACATTTTTTTTATGAGATTAAATTATTTTATATTATATTTTAGCACGATAAATTTAAATTTATACAGAACTAGTATATTTTTATAAAAATGATAAAATAAAATAAATATTTTTATAATAATTAATCTTAACACATAGTTGGACTGGACTATATACAAAGCTTGTTCATTGTATCTTGTGTAATTTTAAATGAGTTAGCTATAAAGTTAAGAGCTTTTAGATAAGTTTTTTTATCTAAACATAATATATTATACTACACATAATACTCTTATAATGTATTTTGTATAAAATATTTCCACTAAAACAAATATGAAATCATGTCTTATTAAAACATTATTATTAAATTTTATTTAAGATTTTTTAACAATTAACAATTTAGGTGCCTTCACTTTTATTTTGTTATTGAATCAAATTGTGTTTATATATTCAATAGATTATATTATGTTTATCAACTAATTTGTTAGTACAATTTTTTATGTATTTCTATTTATTCTATATTTAAATTATAATATTTTTTTTATCATACATTTATTCAATTAACAGCATAGATTCATGGATTTACTATACTAAATATTTTGATTCATTATTTAAAATAATCGAATCTAAGGATAAATACATAAACTGCAATGGTAATACCGATTATTTACCTCACTTTGATTCATCTATAGAAGAGGCTTTGTTGTTTCTAAATGAGTTGCAGAAATTAAATTCTGAACAAAATTATCCTCAAAGAGGAGTATACCTCGCTCGTCTTGAATTATATTCTAGATTAAAAGAAAATGCTAATAAATATATGGGTAAGATAATTAATTTAAATTATTTTTGATTAGTTGCTTTGATATTTTTTTTAAATACAAAATATTTTATCAATATAAAAAAAGTTTTTGCAATTTTCTTGAATAATTATTTGATAATTTTATATTTATTAGTTATTCCTATTTTATCATGCTCAAATTGTATTATGTATTATAAACAATAATTTTAGGTGATGCTATCAATCTTTTAACTGAATATTTTAAGATATTTGGACATAAGCCATGCTGTTTTTATGATTTAAGACCTTATATGTCACTTTTAAAAGAAGAAGTACTTAATGAGTTTTTGAAGATATTGGATGAAATTGTTGATTTGAAAGAAGGAGAGTTTCCAAAAACCGTGAGTACCTATTGTTTCTAAGAGATACTTACCAAGAATAATTCTAGTTTAAAAAAAACATTGTAACCAGATGTGAATTGCATCAGTCTTTTGTCTCCTTGAGCAATATAACATAAGCTTTATCCTACTTTTATAACATTAGTGAATCTAACATGGCTCTTATGTTGAAAATTACTATAATATATTAGTCTTATGACCATTATTTTATTGATGTACTTTATCAATCATTTTTGTAAATTATAATTTATTATGTTTTATATATTTCCAGAAACCTCAAATGGAATGTTATTTATCATATCTCCAATTAGCCAGACATGTTGGAATTCATGATCTCATGAATACTGAAGAAAAGTTAAAACTTGCTGATCGTTTACTTAGATGTTATCACAGATGTGAAATATTTAATAATAGCAAAAGATCTTCAGAAATAATGTAAGATTATATTATAATAATTGACTATCATAAAAAAAATCATGTTTACTGTAAATATTTTATTTTAGGGCAAATGATACTTTTGTTATAATGATGGCGCATTTAATGTATGATATTTGGGTTGAAAATAATAGACTTACATATATAAGGGAAGCTACTGTTGTACTTGAGTATGCATATGCTCTAAGTCCTTCAAATTTTCATATAAAATTGTTATTATTAAAATTTTACCATATGTTAGGTAATTATATTTCTATTTTACATAACAATATTGTTTTTTTTTTTTTTTTATAAAAATAATAATATGTTTATTAATCTTCTTAGGTGCCTCTGATGCATCAAATTTAGCATATATAAATTTAGAAATAAAAAATACTCAGTTGGATTCATTAGGTTATTTACATACTTTTCAAATGTTCAATGAAGGTCGTTTCCAGAATGCATCTAAACTGTACACTACAACTATCAGATTCTTCTCACATAACTATAGAGAGGTGGGAAAGTTTAAACAAAATTTCAAGTTATATTTATTTTCAGATTAATTTTATTGAATGTTTATTTTGTTTTAATTATTATATTAGGTCGCAGATCATTTAACAATATCATACAAATTTGGATCTTTTATCAAAATTATTGAATTTGTGGAATTTAGAGAAAAACTTAAATATTCTATTCATCATTCTATGTGTCTTATAGAAAACTATTTCATTTCATTACTTGATGTTGATAATTTGGATGATTGTTTAGAGGTATTTTTATATTAATTGATTTAATTAATGTTTTTGGCCAAAAAATTATTTTTGTATTTCACATTTATTAGATTATATTAAAAATGAATGATGTGCCTGAAGTTGCTTCAAAATCTCAACTCAAAAAAATGGTTAATAACCGAGACTATTCGGTTTTAGTTAACTACAACCCTCCTACACGATGCTTAACTGCAGAACATTCAAATCAGATATTTTCTCATGATTTGCGTTTACTGGAAATCCGTGCTGTTTTGCTAAGTTGTATTTATTACAGTGCAAGAATGATAAAACAATTTAGTGTTCAAAATATTAAAACAACTTCAGAAGTAAATGGACTTAATCCTGATCTTGAATCTCTCAATTCAAATGACTTAGATCAATTGGATCTTCATTTGAAAACTTTGAAAACCCTTAACACTCAATTGGAAAGTGACCCTCCAGTTCCAGTTCCTAATAATGTGTTTGGAAGTTTTTTTGGATCTAAGTTATTTTGTTTAGATAAATCTAAAACTATGTTAACAATTGTCATCAACTTCATTGAATTAATACAAACACTAGGGTCAGATTTAAAAACTTCCGTTTCCACGAATGATGAGTGGACAGCAAAAATGAAAACCAA